ATAGTTGAAATAAATAGTTAAATAAATAAATAAATAGTTGAAAAAAACAAATTAATAGTTGAAATAAATAATTAAATAAATAATCAGTTAAGTAAGTAATTAAGTAAGTAAATAAGTCGCAGATCATTAATGGTGTTTATTTCTCTCTGTCTGTAGTCGTCTGCTAAAGACCGACATGGAGCTGGAAGTTCTGCGCTACACAAACCGCATTTCCAGCGAAGCCCATAAAGAGGTAAAAACACCACCGTCTGTCAATTCATTTCCCTGTTAATAAGCTATACTCTTGGCAGAGTGTTTGCAGGATGATCCAGAGGGAGAATCACTCATAAACACACACAGATGCGCTGAAGTTGAGCTTGTGTTTTCTGCATTGTTAGTGTGTATCAGTACAGTAAACGCTTCCAGAATAATCACACAGATTCAGACCGTTTGATCAGAATCTAGGCCAGCCATGCATTTATTCTTCACAAGGCAATACCAGCATGCTAAACACTTGATAACTGAGCACAGAAAATAGTTTACATCTTGATTTAGATTCATTAATGATTTAATACTAAACAAAACATGCAAATAATAGAAAATAAAACAAACAAACTCTGCCCAATGTCTGCTATTTGTGAATAAGCTTGCATGATGTATATTATTAGTCTTCAGTCACTTTGCTGTAAATCATTCAGACTCTCAGCATAAGCGCTAGTATTTATAATGTGAACATGACGTTTGAGAGATGCATGACGGTAAATAAAACTCTTGGGGACTCAAAAGTCATTTAATAATCCAGATTGATGGTGCTGCTTTATGGCAGAATGACTTCCTGATATCCATTAATGGTTGAAAGGCCTTTTTAAGAGTGCTGGATATTAATGGAGCAGCGATTTGTGTTAGAATTAATGCTGTGTGTTTAAGCTGAGACCATATTTATCATCGTAAGTGCTGGCTTTAATATTGATCATTTCATCAGAAGGTTTGTTAAACAGTTTGTGCGTTTTAAAGTAAAATACCACTCTTTGCCATAATGATAGTAGATAAAGTGACATTTAAAGGCTCAATTAGGCTAACTAGGCAGGTTATTGAACAACTGTTTTTTTTTTTTTTTTTTTTTTTATCAGTATTATTTTATTTTATTTTTTTGTGTATTTTATTTTATTTTTTCCTTTAATTTATTTAACATTTTTATTTAGTTATTTTTTATTAAACATTTTTATTTTATTTTCCCTTTATTTAATTATTTTTTTATTTTATTTTAATGAATTTTTTTATTTTATTTTATCTAAATTTTTT